AAAGAGCTAAATATATATGGGCTGGTGCAATAGGAAGAGGCTAGGAGAGGGAGGGAGGAAGGCAGCATGAAACTAAAACCCAGAGATAGCTCCAAGTTTTCCAGACCTCCCAGCGAGGGCTTCTGCAATGGGGTTGCTGCTCAGATCCCATGGAAAAGGAAGAGCCAGCATACTGCCGGCTTTGTCAGCAGGCCCTCAGCTCTGAAATAGGAGAGGCAGCTGCCCTGCTCCAATGGGGACCGGAAGATGGACTGTTAGGCTGGCTGCAGTGACACACTCTTGTTATCCCAGCAACTCTGGAGGCAGAGGCCGGAGGACTGCAGGGAGTTCAAGGCCAGCCTGGGCTGCATAGCAAGACCCTGTTGAAAGCAGTCAAGCCAGTTGCAGTGATGCCAGTCTGTGACCCCAGCACTGAGAGGAAAGGCAGGAGGATGATGAGTTCGAGGCCAACCCCAGGCTGCATATGGAGATGGCTGGTGGCTGACCATGCAGGTGCAGCCTGGTCTCCCATGGGAGAAAGCAACCTCTTTAAGTGGAGCTTTGCAACTGTGGGCTACTGTATCGACCTCAGAATTGGCTCAACATTATTCCCTAAGGTAGGGCGACTGAAATTGACAGAAAGAAAGGCCTGATTTCTCACTCCTGTTTCCATTTTTTTTTTTTTTAATAGGATGCAGGTTTTGGAAGGGACAAGCAGCCTTTGCTCCCTGTTCCCTCCTGCAGCTTCCATCTCAGCAAGTTGCCCGCACATGTGCAGAATGCCAAGCCGCGTCCCCACCAGCGGCTTCCAAGTTCTCCACTTCTTCAGAGGCAGCCCAGTACTCTGTCTTCTTAACCTGGACCTCTGAGAGCCTCTTACCTCTGTTCTTTTGGCCCAAGCCAATGGTATTTTTTTTGCCTCTTTATGATTTCTATCTTGAACTGAGCATTTCTTTTTCTCTTTTGATAGTTCTAGGGGTTGGACCTAAGGGCCTCACACATGAGGAGCAAGAGCTCTACCCTGGAGCTGCAGCCCCAGTCCGCAACTCAGCAAAAACGAGCCCAAATAAATCTGTCCTTCCTTATGTTGCTTCTGTCGGGTGTTCCACTACAGAACCAAGCAAGAACAGTAACAATGTGTGTGCCCTCCCTCCCTGGAGAGAGGACGTAAGATTCAGCTCAGATGCTATATGAGGGTTTGTGGTCATTTGCCACTGAAAAATTAGAAGGATGTTATCAGGGCAAATGGGACCAATCGACAGCCTCATAGAATCTCTTCTCTTCTTTAAAAAAAATGTATTTTAAATTATGCATATATGTGTGTGTCTGAATGTGGGCTTGTACATGTGAGTGCAGTGCCTGTAGAAGCCAGAAGAGGGATTCAGACACCCTGGAACTGGATTTACAAGTGGTTAGGAACTCCCTGATGCAAGAGCAGTATGTGCTTTTAACTGTTGAGCCATCTCTCCAGTCACAATGCAGGGGTTGACTGCATAGCTGGATCTCAAACTCAAGGCTTCAGTGAAAATGTAAGACCCAGGCTCTCATCCTGTTTTGTTCTGTGGTCTTCAGCATGCTGACCTTTACAAGCTTGTTCCTCAGAGTTCCGCCAGTCTCACACAGCAATTTCCCAAGGCTAGAAGGTCAGATGAAGTCATAACTTTACCCTGTGGAGAATCTGGCACACACTTCACTTTATGACGGTCTCTTTTTACACTGTCACTACACCGCACGTCCATTTGTCAATCACAGGCAAGGAGACTGAATTGCTATTATGATTGATTTCTTTCCTGATCTTGGCTGAGGAGTTTCAAACCCATCCCTAAGTCTGGGTCTCAGCCCTCTAGAGAATGTTTCAATTGATTTCAGGTAGATTCCAATTGTGGGTATTTTCAAAGTCTCCCCACAAAGCTCTAATATGCAGCCAGGGTTGAGACAACTGCATTCCTCCCTGTCACTGAGTCTAGGCTTTTGTGAAACATGTGGCCAAATAGAGTTGAGGTTCTATTATGCAAGAAAATGAGAGAGTGGACAAGGGAAGAGCTGGTGTTGGGTAGGTAGCCAATGCCTGCTCCACCCCAGCATGTCACGTATACTGCACACGAAGGTGGGGACTCTGGTGGAGTGACAGCTCAGTACTGTTAGCACATTTCTTCTTCTCTGCCTTCCGTGTGGTCCCTAACTGTCTCTTCAGAATATCCTCATTCCTGCCAGGTTGGGTACAAACATTAGAGACATTCATGCTGCTCCCTTCAACTACCAGGCTGTTGAAACAAAGGTCCCTGAGAAATTGGTATTTCCTCCAGGAACCTCATGCTGGGAGACGGAAAAGGTTGAAGCCTGGTGTTAGTCAAAAGAGGATCTATATTCTGGAAAAAGATTTCCCACAGTTCTGACAACTTCTTAGAGCACCTTACAGGGCAGGCTGGGGCCAAAACAATGATGCTGGCAGGGGTCAGGGGGGACCACATCTTGACTAGGGCTGCTTAACTATGCACCTAGGGACAATTAAACACACCTCCCTGGACCTTGTTTCAGGCTTCCTATGTCAGTACCCATACCTGGCCCGGGAATCTGGATTTTAGCAAGCACCTCGGGCACTCCTGAACCAACATTGCTGGCAGGATGACTCAAGGCTAACTACATTTCCTTGACTTCCTTTTTACATTGAGGGTTTTTCTTCAGAGCCCTCCCCTTTCCTCCCTCCAGGGATGCTAATTCCTTCTGTAGATTTCTAGGGGATCTTACAAGTATAGTTTGGCTGCAGCTACCAGCAGCCTTGGCCTCAGAGGGAAGAGTCACAGCGGCAGGACTGCCTAGAATAAGGACAGCGCTTATGCACAGAGGGTCTGTGTTTGTTCTCACTACCGTAGCTGGACCTGTTTCCTGCCAGGACAGCCACCTTGGGTCACTGTTCTTTCCTCCAGGGCATGGGGTGGCCTGGTTTGACATAGCAAAGGCTAGCAGAGTTGGCTTCCAGTCACAACATTGTCTCTGGATCTGAGTGTTGGAGAGGAGAGAGGAGGAGTGAGTGAGAGAGTGTGGAAGAAGGGAGAAGTTTGAAAGAGAGGATAAGGGGAGGAAGAGAAGAAGGAAGGAAAGGAGGAGGAGAAGTGGGGAGGAGGAAGAGGAAGAGGGCAAAGGGCAGGAGGAAGGAGAGGAGGGAGGGGAGGAGGAGGAGAGAGGAAAGAGGGGAAGTGAATTGGGGAGGAAGGGGGGAGGAAGAAGGGGAGGAAGGAAGGAGAAAAAAATGGGAAGAGGAGGAAGAGTAGGGAGGATCAGGGGAAATGGGGAGGAGGAGGAGGAAGATGAAGAGGAGGAGGAAGAGGAGGAGGAGGAGGAAGAGGGAGGGAGGAGAAAGAAAAAGGGAGGAGGAGACCAAGGGAGAAGGAGGAGGATGGGCGAAGGGCAGTGAGCCAGTGGACTGAGATCTGCCTACAGGAAAAGAGTCCTGGTCACCTGCAGACGTCCTAAGGGAATGGGAATCCCCATCCCTTCTGCACATCACCCTGCACTTGTTTGTGTCTCACTTCTCCAATGGGCCTCAGCTTGGTCCATCTTCACCACCACGACCTCATGAAATGCTCACAGTGTCTCTTTGACCTTAGTGGCAGTGTTCTCACTTTTCAACTTTTCATTGGAGGCATAGAAAGTCATGATGCCAAGGGTCATGTTGACTAATGACAGCTGGGACTGGCTTTGAACTCTGTTTGTCTGACTCAGGTTCTGACCCCTGCCAACAACTCTTTTTATGCATTGTGACTAAAAGATTCAGTGAACAGACTTGCTCTTCTTAGACCTCATAGGGCTGGAGCTGCACATGAGGCTTTGCCGAGTGCCCAGCACATAGTGAGCCTGTGGTGACCATCAGACACCACAATAATCAAAATGACAGCTGTGGACCAGGAAGGTCTTCAGATAGGGGCCTGGTGTCTGTCAGAGGGAAGCAAAGCCTGGTCTCCTCACAGCCGGGCTGCGGAGGACTTCAGGTAGACTTGTGGCCTTTCCTCTGGTCACTCTCTGGAGCCTCTCTTCTTCCCTCTCATCTCCTTGTTCAGTGATTGTTAGTGGTTATATCCCCCCCCCACACACATTGTTAGAGTGTTTTCAGATGACATCACGAACTTCTGCTTTTACTAATCTATTTATTTAGGTAGTTTTGGAGATAGGGTCTTACTATGTAGCCCAGGAAGGCCTTGAACTCTGCATCTCCCTGCCTCAGCCTCCCAAGTATTGGGATTATAGGCATGTGCCGCCATGCTCTGTTGTATTTGAGCCTTACTCCAAGCCCGGGAAGAGGACAGGCCGGTTTCTTTTGTCCTCAGTTCCACAAATGAAAAAAATGAAGCCCAGGTGGTTATAGGGACTTTGTCAATGTTGCACAATCAACTCAAAGCTGCGCTGGAGCAAGTGCTGGCCTCCTTCTGTTCCTTATCTCAGTGGGAGGGTTATGCCTAGAGAGGGCCATTCTGACAGGGCTTTAGAGCAGGAGTGATCTTGTGGGGACCCTCATTTAAGTCCCTCATATTTAGATGAGTGAGCCGAGGACTGGAGAGAGTTATGTGTTGTTTAAGTTCATAGAGCCAGTGAGGGAGAGCTTGGGAGCACCCACCGAAGGATCATTCCTACGGCTGATGGTGTGAAATGGCTGAGGATGTAACAGCAAAGATGAGACCTACACGTATCTCCTTCCTAGAAGCTGCAACAAAGCATGGAATTCTTTAATTCTACTGCTGTAGGATGAAGAAGAAAATATTATAAAAACTAAAAACGAGGGGTTGGAGAAATGGCTCAGTGGCTAATGGCACTGGTTACTCTTCCAGAGAATCTGGGTTCAATTCCCAGCACCCACATGGCAGCTAGCAACCATTTGTAACTCCAGTTCCAGGGGATCCAACACCCTCTTCTAGCCTCTATGGGCTTTGTATGACGTGGGTACATGTGCATGGAGACAAAACACTCATAAACATCAAGGAAAAATGAATAATTTAATTTAATTTAATTTAAAAATCCCCCAAAAAACCTAAACATGAAAAAAATAACCATACATGCTAGAAAATGTGGAAGAGGACATGGTCGTTTGGAGAGGAGAGACTCTGGAATCAGTTGATCTACCACAACTTGGCTGGTTGACCATGGCCCATGACTTCATCCCTCAGTTTCCTCCTCTCTGTATGGGAATGATAACGTGTTGAAAGGTGAAAGGCACCCGAAGGGTTTGTTCAAGCCTGGGATGCAGTGAGCAGTTGGTGAGGGGAGCGAGGGTCACTCTTGCTGTCACTGCTTACCACCATAAGGACCGAAACCGCTGAGCCTCCCTTACCCGTGTCTCCTCCCGTGTCTCCTCCCCTGTGTCTCCTCCTGTGTCTCCTCCCTTGTCTCCTCACCCGTGTCTCCTCCCGTGTCTCCTCACCCATGTCTCCTCCCGTGTCTCCTCACCCGTGTCTCCTCCCGTGTCTCCTTACCTGGCTCTGTGTCTCTGGTGCCCCACCATTGTCAGACCGGCACTGGGTAAAGGCACACCGGGTTGAACTCAGGACGTGCTGCTCCACTGTCATGTGGGACCTTGCACTTGTGTCAGTTCTCTAGATACAGCATCTTACTTGAGTTCTGCCTGGTGTCCTTGGGGCAGGCAGGGCACGTGGTCCCATGACATGCCTGATGTGACTGCAAACGTCACGGCTGAGAACACAGGACCCGACTCTCCAGACTTTCTGACCACATGGCTGCCACATGAAAACCATCCCCTAGGAAGTAGGCCCCCAGAGGGACATCGGTGTCATCAAATCCCAGTGTTTCTAGCCCAGAGATTCAGAAAGGGCTTCAGAAAATGGCTAGGCTAGCCTGCCCCTGCCCCCTATCAACCCAGGGTTCTTATGGTTCAGCATAAAGGACCCTGGGAAGCACATGGCTTCCAGTGCATTTCAGGCAGGTTTGCCAAGGGTACTAGGAGAAGTGGGACCCAGCAGTTCTACCTGGCTGAGGAAGACACTCAGGATCGGCACCTGAGTGACACTAGGGCCTGACCCACAGTCTCACTGACAAGTTTATCACCAAGCTTTATGGCTTCCAATATTTATAGCTTCCAAGCTCAGTCACTGCCGAAATCAGCCTGCTCAGAAACAAACACATAGCAAAGCTGTGACCCAGCAGCCTGAGTTGGGACAGGCGACCCACCCTGGGCAGAGCTGGCACTGGCGAGGCCACAGGCTGAAGTCAGGTGCATTTGTGGTGAGACACATACTTGACCTTCTTTGTCCTTGTCTCTACGTTGGAGCTTGAGGGTCTGGGAAGCTGGGAATCGAGCTTGGGGGAGGATTGAACTTGCCGAGTTCCTTTGGAGGGTGTAGGAAGCAGATGTCTGAAGTCATTCATCTGGGACAAGTTGACATAGGCCAAGGGTATGAGATGTCCTGATCCCAGGCTTCCCTTGGGAGCTCAGCCTGAAGTGCGGAGCAAGAATTTAAGGCTCTCTTGGCTTTCAGTTCATGAGCAGAGAAGCTGGAAGAAGGCCGGGTCAGGACCCGAGGATCTAATTCAGTTCACCCCACATGCCTGTTCCTCTTGTTGCCCTTCCCTCTATGTGTGGCCAAATAAAAACCTCGGGCTCCTCAGACTGCTCTAGGTGTGACCCAACACTGCAGTCCATCTATTTGTGGCTGTAACAAAGCTAGGCGCAATGACACCCCTTCCCAGCTGAGCTTGGTAAGTGCTAAGAGTGCTAGGTGGGAGCAGTCCCTCCTGCTGTCTGATGCTTCCAGGACATGGACCTTTTCTTCCTGCTGACTGTCCCTGCAGCCAGCTCACCTCAAGCCCCTGTCCTAGGAGAAGGGAAAAGAAGCCAGATTAGCAGAAAAGGGGAAAGGGGTCTGGGAAGCTGGGAAAAGAGCTTGGAGGAGCATTGAACTTGCCGAGTTCCTTTGGAGGGTGGCTTAGGTAAGCACTTGGGTCAGGCCTGAAGCTTTCGTCCTCCCAAGTTCTCACCTGACTCTCACCCTGGATCACCACAGCCACTTTCCCAGTGACCTGAGTCTCCTCCTCGACCTCCTGCTGGAGTGAAGACCTCACACCAGCCCTTTGCATCAAAGAAGAATAATTTATTTTTTCCTTTTTCTCTGTGAGGATTTGGTTCTCAAATGCAGTCCTTTTCTTTCACCCCCCCCCGCTCCTTTTCCCAGCATACACTAATGCTTCTTACTAAAATTTGCTCTCAACTTTTAATTATAACAGTATAAACTACTGTGATGCTATTAAATGAACACTGAAAATTCTCAGGCATGGAAGGTGAAAGGCATTTAAAAATATTTTATTTATTATTTTTATTTTACGTGTAGGAGTGTATTGCCTGATGTCTGTGAGTGCACCCATGTCATGCAGTGCCGTAGAGGTCAGAGGAGGGCATTGGATTCCCCTGGAATTGGAGTTAAGGATGGTTCATAGCTGCCATGTGGGTGCTGGGAATCGAACCCTGCTCCTCTGCAAGAGCAGTCAGTGCTCTTAACCTCTGAGCCATCTCTCCAGTCCCAGCGAAAGGCATTTTTAAGAAGTTAATCATAGGACTGGATGAGTCTGTGCATCTGGGAAGCTCCAGGGTCTTGGGGGAGCAGTTGTCACTTACGTCATATCCAAATTTCCATGACACATGTGTGTGTCATTGCAAGGTTCTTCTGGAGTAGTGCTACTTAAATAGTACCTACATTTAGGACATTAGTCCCAGAAAGCCCTAGATTTAATTCCCAACTCTGTACTTACTAATTTTATGATGCAAGCCAATCTATAAACCTCAGTGCCAGAGTCTGCAGCTTCAAGTGAACGAGAATAATGCCTACCTCAGAGCTACAGAGTTTCAAAGTGGATCAGGAATGGCTATGTAACAGCCAGCCACCCTATGTCAGTGGTGACTGAGTATTTTGAATGTTTCCGAGTCTTGGCTAGGCCATTCCTTTGAGTTGTAGGTCTGGTGGGCACAAGCCCACTTGGTGAATTTCACATAGGCCCAGGACTAAGTGGCAGCAGCTGCCTGTAGGATTCTTCTGGCATCAGTGACAAGATGCAGAAGAGAGCCAACCTCCTGCTCAAGTGTGTTCCAAGTCCCTGCTGCATCTTATTCACTAACATTCCATTGACTAGAACATGTGCCAGGGCTGAGCCCAATGACAGAGACAGGCAAGTGTACTCAGTCCACAAGTAGGTCATGGTGCACGTCTTACATGGGTCCAGGCTCCTTTCTTTCTGCTTGAGCACTGTGAGCATGTAGTGCGCTATGTACATGTAGGCAAATCAGCCATACACATAAAATAAAAATAGTAAGTTTTTAAAATGTGGATGGTGCCTAAGGAAGGATATTTGAGGTTGTATACACACACACACACACACACACACACACACACACACACACCCCAAATCATCATCCATCTACCTTTAATTCTTGCCATTGGGTAGTTAAGGATACAGAGTCTAGATGTTCAAAGCAGAGCTGTACTCCCAACTTTTCCTTCCAGATTATTCTAAAGCTCCTTGGTGGGCATTTGAAGCTGGAAGGGGAAAGCTGTTTCCTTTGAATTCCTCTTTCCAGCCCCTTCCTGTGCACCCCCACCCCCATCCCTATGACTCAGGCAGACTTGCTATTCAGTGTGAACCTACTGCCAATGTCTTACTAAAATATTGAAATCCTCTCATACCAGATGGTAAAAGTATGAATCAGCAAGTCGTCAAAGCAGCCAGTAGCAGTGTCCCCAACAGCCCAGGGGATGTGGTCAGGGCAGAAAAGGCCAGAGGGGATGAGGACTTGAAGCAGATAGACAGTGAACATGATGACACACCTGTCAACTGCTCTGGAACAGCCAGTGGTGTGGAGGTAACAGCACGGTGGCAAGCAGGTGGCCCCTGTGCCAGAGGTATTCTATGTCCAGACCATGTGACAGCCATGTATGTTCTCAGGAATGATGTGTGACCAGGGTGTCAAGCAGCTGTTGTGGCAATATAGCACCAAGTTCCAAGGAACTAGTGACTGTTACTTTGATGGAAATGGCCTTGGAAGAGTTTGTGTCAGCTTTCATGGGCAAATGTGGCTCAAACAGAGGTTTCCTAGCTAATGACAGTCTGAACAAATTAAAGAAACCTCCACATGAATGAGTTGCTAAGCATTACATGGATTCTATGAGGTGTTCCATGATGTTCATCACGAACAAGCTTTCGCCTTACTAGTATATCCATGACTATGTAAAATCACTCTTGACAAAAATACTTGATACAACTTAAGGGAAGAAAGATTTATTTTGGTCAAAGTTTTAGTCCATCAGGGAGGGGAAAATCCAGTGGCAATCATGGCAGCCAGAGCATGTGGCTGTGACTCCTCACATCATGGTGATAGACAGGAAGCACACAGCTCAACAGGAAGCGGGGCCTGACTATAACTCTCAAAGTCCAGACCCCACTGGTGTATGTCTGCCAGCTAGGCCCCTAGTCCCAAAGGCTCTACAACCTCCGAAAATACCACCACCACTGCAGATCATGTGTCCAAACATGAGCCTGTGGGGGGACAGTTCAGACATAAACCGTAACAAGTAGCTTTGTTCACTTTGAGAACAGAAGATTATAGCCCCTAAAATTTTGATGGGTATATTAATGAGTTGTAGCCTGGGTTGTCTGTTCTTAGTGCACACCCTCACCTTGGGGGTCCAGTCCATCCACAGGCCCTTCCAGTGTCTTCTCATTATGGTACTTACTCAGCAACCTGCTTTTGTATTTGCTTAGGCCTCAGGCTGGGGCACCTGCAGAACTCTCAGGTTTTTTTGTCTGGCCCCAGTGGGACCTTCTGTGACAAAGCACTTAGATGTTTCTATGTTGTGTACATCTTGAGTCCTATAATAGCTAACTTTATGTATCAACTTGACTGGGCCACTGAATGCCCAGCTATGTCTCAAATACATTTCAAGTGTTGCTCTGAGGATGTTGTTCCTAAGATTAATACTTAAATCAATAGAGTAAAACAGATGGCCTCCCCCATGTGCTAGACCTGTTCTAACTCCCTGAAAGACTGAATGGATCACAAGGACTGATCATCACTGAGTCTGACAGCCCTGTCTGAGCCATACGGGAACAGGGGTTGGGTTCGGTGGGTGCTGATTTAGGTTGCTTTTTCCAAAGATTAGAAGCTGAATATCAGAGCTGCTAATCTATTACTGAGTGGCTCCTGGCTCAACCCACATGAAATTAAACCCATAATTGAAATGCAGAGATTGTTCTGGACAGGAGGGAAGGCTTAGCTCCTTTCTCAGGGAAAAGAGAGCCCCAAGGCCTGCTCGATAAAGAGGTTAGAATGGTGGTCTGTTGGGGTGCTGCAATCTGCTACAAGGTGATAGGTGACAGAGTCCCTGTCACCTTAGGGCTTACAAAGATATGGCAACCTGCATGGTGGCGAACAGGCCTCAGATAGGCCCTCCTCTGGCCTCCATTCCCATAGGCAGCCTTCCCTGAAGGCAGGGCCCCCAACTCCTGCTTGTATAGCTGCAATCTCCCCTAAGCCTAGGGTGGCTGCCTATTTTCTGTTCTGTCCCTGGAAATCCTGTATCCGCAACAGGAGGAACATGGGGACCAAGAGATCCAGGAGAGAAGGCTGCTTGGGAATTTCTCAGTCTGGAGGATGCCTGCTTTTACCAGACCCATGCCAGCTCCAGGGTGCCTAGCATGTGACCAAAACCTGGGGAACCCCACAGAAGGATCACCTCATGGGAGGGGTTAGTGGTATGGAGTGATTAATTTCAGGAGGGTTGTTTAAGGCCATATCCTAGCTCTAACTCTTGTGGCTATGGGACCCAGGCAAGGCACTTTACTTCCTTTATGCATCATCTGCTTAGTCTCTGAAATGAGAAGAGTAATAATGGTTCCTGTCTTTGGAGGTAGCTCCAACTAAATCATTAAGGTTTAGAGTAAATTAAGCTCAGAAGGCCTGGAATCAGGCTTCTCATAGGCACCAGCTATATAGACTGTGGTATCATAAGGAATTGTGCTTAACTATAGAGGGGGCCTGTGGTCTCTATTAAATGAGATGATGTGTGTGGTGTTACCTGGAGTGGGATCTGGAACAGTTTTCTGAATTCTCATTCCTTCTTCTTTTATGGTTGGCCAGTTGTTTCCATACTCATCATTAATCAAGAAAACCATGGAGGTGAAATTAGGAGTAGAGACAGTCTGAGATAACGTGGCCTTGTCTCAAGAGGCCTCGTGGTTGGAGATAGCCCCGTATGATCTCAGGGCTGGAAGTGAGGCTGTTGCCCAATGCTAATGGTCGTGGGCTCTGCTGGCCTTGTAGAGCTGTCTGCTCTTTCCGTCATGATCCCCAGGAAGAGCTCACACAGTAGAGCTCCATCTGCCAGCTGTGGTCACACCATCAGTTCCAGATAGGTGCCTGATTTTCAGCTCTCCCTTGCTTAGAGTGCGCACCTCTTCCTCCTGACCTGGAGGATCTCTTTGCTTCCATTTTTGTTTGGGTGCCTTGAATTCTTAATGTTATATCATTTGGTTGGGCCATGGGAAGCCCAGATACTTAACTAATCATTACTCTGTGTGAATCTGTGCCAGTGTTTCTGGAGGAACTAATCATTGAAACAAAAAAGGCTGCTGTTCCTGGAGTGTAAGAGAACATCTGCCTCAAGTCTCCGCTTGCCACTCAATCTGAAGACTTTAAGACTTCACCTACACAATCAGGCATACTAATTCCTTATAATCAGTCTTGTCTTTCCTCTACATAGACATCCTATTGGCTGTTTTTCTGGAGAAACCTGCTGACCCAGTCCCTTGCTGGGGGAATCTGGGATCCTCCTGGTAGGCCCATAGTCTCTCCATTTCTCCCCTTCAGAAAAGGCTCCTCCAGGGTATTAGGGCTTCAGAGGGGCCCATCTTTGACAATCCTATGCTCATGAACTTCTTCACTTGTGGCTACCTGAGTGTCCTGGGAAATCTGCTGGCATCTATGGGAGCACACTGCCAAACCCGCTCCCTGGCTCCATTCACTAAGGGGACCCACAAACCCAACAAGGGAAACACATTGGCTGACTTTGACCTGCTGCCTGATTGGCAGGTCCTGCATGGAGGGGCAGTGGGGCCTTTAAAGAAATGATGACCTCGATTCAGAGACAGTGTTTGTTGAACTGAAGCTTCAGCCAGTTCTCTTTCCTCATATGAGTGGAATTTCTATTTGGGATTAAGTTTTCACTGTGCTGAATGCGTTAGTGGGTTTCTGTTTTTTGTCATTAGACAGGGGACATAACCTTCACTGGCGGTCTGTGGAGACCTGGACAGCTGGTGTAGTGGCAAAGCACTGGCTGACCGCAGGGGATTAGGGCCAAACACAACCCATTTCACACTGAAAATAAGCTGATTTGTTTTTTGTTTTTAAATAAGCCTTATTAAAAACTGGCTGTCAGTCTGGTAGGATCTGTGGAGAGTGTCACCAGGCGGGTATATGACTTCCCGGGCTTGGCAACCAGCAAAGCTGCCTTCAAATCACCACTTCTTCCTGCTCCAAACTCAGGAATATTCCAGAAAGCTTTGCTGACTAGGGCTAAATGCTATGGTCTCAGGCAGCTGAGGGCCTAATCGTCAAGTTGTAGGGGACGCTGTGTGCATGTAGGTGGGCTGTCCTCTCTGCAGCCATCGGCCTTTCTGTGGCTCCTCATGGCCGTAACTTTTCAAGCCATACACCACAACTTCCCAATTTCATGACCTCACCTACCTCCATCCTCTCCAGCAGTGATTCCACCCTCATTTTAGAATAGACCAGTGGTGACCACAGGGTGTTCTGGGTGGTGTCTGGGAGATGCACAAAGTCAGAACTATTTCTTCCCTTTACAGGTCTCTCAGAGGTATGCAGCGGCTTCCCCAGGTGGGTGACATGTGACAGTATGTGTGGTGACGGATGACGGTGTCCTCCCTCTGAACCAATGGCACACGTGTCTGAGGATTTCTGTACTAGACCCTGTATTTCAGGGACATTCTTAGAAGCAGGTTTATTTAATTTGGACTTTCAAGTTGCATCTGTCTTTCCAGCTTCCTAAATGCTTCAGGAGTCTACACACGCATGAACCACTGTGTAAGAGAGGGGTGTGTGTGCGTGTGTGTGTGTGTGTGTGTGTGTGTGTGTGTTATAGAAAAGGGTTCAGTCTGAAGTAGAGTTACTATGGACATGGATCATAATGGGATAAAATGAACCCCTGTGAAATGGTTTCAGGCTTACCTAGAGTGAGGCTTTTACAGGTGACCCTAAAACTGCATGTTCTTTCTCCTGCTACCAAAAACTTCTGGAAACCTTGGGTGGGGCACTGGCTGGGGCAGTGGGAGGTGAGATTGGAAGCAACTTAAGTTAGAATTAATTCAGAGCAAGGTATCACCAGGCAGTATGTGAGCTATAAAGACCTTTGAGTTCATAAAGTAATTTTATGTTTTATCTGAAAAATGAAGTGAAATTTATTTTTAAATTATATTTATCTATCTCTTGGGGAGGGCAGCTGGGTGAGGGTGCAGACTTGTGAATGTGCCATGGTGCACATGTGGAGATCAGAGGACAACTTGTGAGAGTCAGTTCCCTCTTTCTACCACATGGATCCTAGGGATTGAACTTAGGTCATCAGGCTTGGCAGCAAGCACCTTACCTGCTGAACCAATTCTCCACCACAAAATCCTCAAAAGGCTTTCTCTGAGAAGTTTCTCCCTCTGGTTTGGGTTCAACAGAAGTTTCAGACTTGTTCTGAAGGAGGGTGTATCCCAAGGGTTTTTGAGCTACTCTTCAGCAGTGCCTACCATAGACGTCTCCCTTGTAGGACTGTCCTACAAAAAAAGGTGGGAGAAATGCACAGAAGTTATTAAGGGTCCTTTTTAATAACAGCAAAACACCCCTGACCAACCACACAAAGCAAAGCTCTGACTTGGAAGCGATTGGACTGTCCATTTTCCAGGACTGGTCAATAAAACTCCAGCCCTTCTGTAGGGATGCCATAGAGCATGAGTGTATAAGTGTATTGCTTGCGTGTATGTAAGTGCACTTGTATCATGCAATGCCTGAGGAGATCAGAAGAGGGTTTCGAATCCCTTGGAACTAGAGTTATGGATGGTTGTTAGCCGTCATGTGGGTACTGGGAACTGAAACCAGGTCCTCTGCAAGAAGAGTCAATGCTCTTAACCACTGAGCTGTATCTCCAGGCCCTATTGTCAAATTGTTGAAAAGCAAGTTTCAGAATAATTTGTACTATAGTTTTGTCTGGTGGGGGGAGGGTGGGAAGTCAGTAGGTGAATGCATTAAAAAACACAACTCACTGATAATACAGAACAAAACATAATCCTTAGAGGGGTGGGATCAGGAGAGGGAAGCCATGTCTATATTACATATACCAATTACATTACATATATTATGTATTATTGTATACCAATAGAATACTTCACACATTATATGATTTGTTGTTTAACAATAAAGTAGGGGGAAACTCCGATTTACTCTGAAGAGGAGCTCGAGTTCTAAGCAGGTTATAATGTTCTGGGGCTCTGTGGATGCCTGCTCCTTTTCTAGGGGTCAAAGCAGGACACTCCACTACTTGACTTTCTACCTCCTTCACCCCCAAGAAGTGCCCTCTCTGCTGAGTATGGTATGGTTAGAGGTGGGGTGAGCTGGGAGAGAGGGCACAGCGCCTGCCAGTCCCTAAAATCCCTCACATTATCTCACATTTCACATTTTCATCCACCTTAGATGCATGGTGCGCGGGTAAAGCAACGAGTTTCACAAGACTGACCTGCCGCTGCTACCTGGACACTTCTGACTGCAACATCTTCCCTTGTGAGAGAGACATAACATCCTAGGTCAGAGGAAAGTAGTCTTTAGGACTCCGCCACTGTCACAGTCCCTGTCCTGAGAGAGTAGCCCCTGCTTCCTGTACTCCCGGCTGAGCATATATTGCAACCTACAGCCAAGGGGACTTAGGTGCCATGAGGGACTCTGGATAACCCCTTCTCCAACTTGGAACAGCTTTCCAGGCTCCTTGAGGCGGGCTTTGGTCGAGAACCTCCCTCTTTCCTGGGCACAAAGTCTTGCCCTGGAGGCTCCCTGGAGAGTCCTACCCAGTGGGAGCAAAGCTGAGCCCTGTCCAGGCAAGTGCTTCAATTGGGTCCCCAGAAACCATTATTAGATATCCCTAAACATGGGGTGGGCCACCCTGGGGGCTGGTGACCAAGTAGGTGCTTGACCTGTGACCTCTGCTTAGAGCTCTGAAGATGAGTTAAGCTTATGTCCATTAAATGCTTGAAAGTACATACTAGTGTGTGAGGGACTGAGGATGGGTAGGGCGGAAGATAGAAGCCAGACTATCATGGAGTGGAAGAGGCTCAGGAACACCTTTGCAAACTTCCAGGCATACAGGAGAGCACAGAGCTCTTGGCCACTTTGTTCCAAATAGGCAGGGAGCCTATGTGGCATTCTCAAGGTGCGGGTGGTAGCCCAAAGACTGACCAGGTGAAGTCCTGCTTTCTCAGACCCATTGGCAGGGCTGTGGCACCCCCAACTATCCTTCCTTCAGGGTAGCGTCTTGGGATGAACTTCAAAGGGCCCTGTCCCAAGGTCAAGGCCTCCTGTTCTAGGGGAGGGATATGGGACCCAGAGGGACGAGCTTTCTGGGATTACCTGGGAGTATGGTTCTCTGCACCGTGTAGGCAATGGAGAGTGGAAAACGTGAGCAAAGAAGACTCCTGGGCCACTCAGGGGACTAGAGACTGGTTGAGGGCCTGTAGGCATCTAACTCTTGATAGCAAGTCCAGTAGAGGTGGGAGGGGGCAGATGCATAACAGAGGGTGACATGGAATCCATGCCACTTGGTCCAGCTGCTCTCCCTGAGCCACAGTCATAGAGCTGACTTCTTGGGTGTTAGATACTTTCCAAAACTCCATACATTTCTTTTTTTTTTGAGATAGGGTCTCATGTAGCCCCAGCTGGCCTTGAATTCACTATGTAGCCTAGGATGACCTTGAACTTCTGAGCCTCCTGCCTTCACATCCTGAGTGCTTGGATTACAGGTGTTTACTACTACATTCTACTTACGTGGTGCTCAGGATTGAACTCAGGGACTTTGTGCATGCTAGATGAAGCCTCTACCGACTGAGCTACAGCCCAAGCCCAACAAACTTTTATCATTGCACTTTTATTTTTCAGAAAGGTCTATTTTACAGAGAAATGATTCTGATAAGTCAGCTCCTCCCTCTATAGCTGCATCACAATCACTCATGAGCTTTGGCAGCCAGCATTGGGTGGGCGGTGTGGCCCAGGACAGAACACGCAGGGTGTATTGGGACTTCCAGGATTTCAAGAACAAGGGGGCAATGGCAGTCTGGATTCTAGAGACTGAGGAAGGATAGACCATTGTGATGAGGCTGTGGGTGATGCTAGCAGCAGCCAGACAAAAGCAGGGTTGGAAGACCCCAGTGCCAGGAGGCAGGCAGAGGTATTGTTCTCCTACATGAGTGTGCAAGGTAGTGGGACTTCCCTGAAGGGCTCTCTGGCTGGCCTGACTAGCAGGAGTTAGGAGGCTCACATCTCATGAGCAGCAATTGTACATTCAATGTACTACCCACAAAGGCCTGGCCTTGGGCGTTGCTCACCTTCAGATTAATTTTGTGAATCAAGGGTTCTGTAAACTGTGGAAAAGGGGCTCTATCTCCATGGTGCATCAGGGAGCAAATGGTTTAAACAAGGTTACAAGATAGAATTTCATTTTTTTCTTTTAGATGAACCATATCTGGAGAGAATGCTAGACTCCAGAGAAGTTCCAAGTTCATCCCCAAAGAAGCTAGTTTTTTTTTTTTCATGGTCCACTATAGCTGCCCAAACACCTCCAATTATGTGTAATTCAAACAGAAGGACCATTCGGGGAGCAGCAGAGCACCCTGTATTTTCATGTCTCCTCCCCCAAAGTCATCTGTGATTTTCTTCTACTTGTATCTCACTGTCTACAGTTTATCACAAGGCTGTAGCACGGGCAGCAGGGGACGCTGCAAAGCGTAGTCTTGTTTTTGAAATTTTGTTTTGTGGTACAGGAGCTTGAACCCAGGGATTTGTACATGCTAGTCAAGGGCTCACCACCGAGCTATACACCTAGCTTTCCTTCTACTTCTTACTTTGAGACAGGGTCTTACTAAGTTTTCCAGGCTGGGAAAACAATCACAAGTTCCAAACTGATCGGAACCTGCGCTTGGAGGATGTGACATTGCCTAGCAGAACCCAGTGGTGATGGAGGAACGGCCATTGATTTAAAAAAAAAAAAAGAATAGGGGTAAGAGGATGGGGTCAAATGAGGGGGCGGGGGGCTGGGGGACAACCTGCAGTTGGGGGGACAGAGCTAGTGTGGGGGTGAGGCTAGGAGTCAAGCGCAGCTGGCCTCTGAAAGGACTTAAGTACGGGTCAAAGAGGGGCTTCCCTGCAGGGCAGAGGCTTCCTGGGTTCCATAGCTTTGTCACCTCTGCCTTCTCCGTTGGACTCAGCAAGAAGCTGACAGCAAAGCAGGGCAGCCCAAAGGGTTACCCGGCCTCTTGATGGGATGTAGAAAGGAAGCCAATGCCCTCCAAAGAGGCTCCACCTGCCACAGGCAAGCAGCCCCTTCCTTCCTGGAGCACCGTTAGCCACAGAGCTAAAAAATGACAGCAGTGTGTCCCCATCCCATTCTGGAAGCAGAAGTCTGAAATCCACATGTTGGCACGGAGGGCACCAGGTAAGAGAGGCTCCTTCAGCCTCCTCCAGCTTCCAGTGGTGCCTGGCAAGTCCTGGCACTCCTTGGCTTGTAGATGCATCACTGTCTCATGGTGACCCCTGTGTAATGTCTTTTCTTCTCCACTTTGTGTATCTCTATCCAAACCACTCTTGTGTCACGAGGACCCTGGTCATTAGGTTAGTCTCCTGAATTTAATGTGCCTTGTCTATATTTGATTGTACCTGCGGAGACCCTGTTACTAAATGAGGCCAAATTATATAGCTGGGATTTCAACCCAGGGGGAACACAATTCAGCATACAACTGGCATTTTCTCCTCTTGGGCTCATGCTGGAGCCAGCCCTGGGCTGTGGAAAGGACTCCAGGCTGACACTAGATCCTGTAGCTCTAACCACTGCAAATCAACAAATCCCACTTCTCCCTAATTTATTAGCTTTGCCTTGATCTACCGCCCTTCAGTGCAGGGTCTGACAAACACATACTGTTTTCCCACTGACTCTCAGCCAGGTACACGGTGGGGAGTCTGGCCAGCTGGCAGGGAGCACACCCAGACCAGGGAGGCTGGTGAATGTGGCCAAATTTTCCCCTTTAATTTCTCTGCCTGGCCATGGAGGCTCATCTGCAAGGAGGCAGGAAGTGGGCTGGCTCTGCAACTCAGGATCTTCCAGCAGTCCACTTCTGTATCCTGACCCTGAGCCTCTCTGTCTAGTTGCTTCATCCTTTATAACAGTCTTGTGTGTATGTGTCTGTGAGTGTGTGTGTGTGTGTGTGTGTGTGTGTGTGTGTGTGTGTGTGTGTGGTACATATGTACATGTGTATGTGCCAAGTGTCTACCTGGCATCTTGCTCCCTCTTGCAGGGGAGGGCTGTGGCAGGAATTGGAGAGGATGCTCCCTAAGCAGCCATGTGGTCCCCAGACCAGGGCTTGGGTTATTATCACTAAGCTTCCGTGTTGCTGACTTCAGTCTCTCATACCTGCTTTTGATGTGGGGTGAAATGGAAATATGACCGATGAGATGTGGCATTTTCTGATGCCATGATACTTATCCAAGTGTGTCCCACTGGCCTGCAAAATCAACCTTGATCAGGAGGCTTCTTAGAAATGCAGAATCTCAGGCCAGGTTTAGGGAATCACAAGTTATAATTCCACAAGCCCCTGGGCATGCATGTGCCTTGAAAAGTACAATAAGAAGCTACAGCTTGGTCATCCCCCAAAGAAAATACAGCTCTTAGGAGTTGCAACTTCCTTTTACTCCAAAATGTTTATCCAGGAGCTGACCAATGTGAGGGGACAAGGCTTGCCATCATATGCCCCCTCTTCATTCCCGGCATGCTCCGCTCATCACGAACCTGGCTTCTGATAATGAGACACCTCTCTGCTATGTGGGGAATGGATGGAAGCCATGTTCGTTTTTTTGTTTTCTGGAACAGTGTTTCCATTTTCAAGGGAGTTGTTGTTAAGGCAAGTTTCACTACTGAGTTTTATCACCCCTCTTCTGCTTCCTGGTGGAGACCAGCCCAGGCCCCAGCATGTATCCTCAGCCTTCCAAAGCATTCCCGCCCTGTCCCCTGCACCTTGCTGCGTCTGTCCAGCTGCGAGGGACTGGCACACAGGCATGCCCTGCCTTCCTTCTTCCCATCTCTTACTTGCTCTGGAGAGAACTTGGGCATGTCAATGGAGATGCAATAAAATTCGATGACAGCCCACGAACTCCTAAATCTTCCAAATTGCCACCTGAACTTCCTCTGGCTCTGTTTGTTGGCATGCCTGAACCCACACTCCCTGAGATCCAGGCCCAGAATGTAAGCCATTGTCTGCTTCCCCAGCCGCTTCAGGGAACACGGGGGCTCCAGGGTCTGTCTCTTCCCAGGGCACCTTCTCAGAGTAGGTGCAGCTAAGAAATGGACCCAAGGTGGAGAAGTGAGAGCTGGCCTGGAATTCTCCCAAGTTCAGCTCTGCCAAAGCCTTCTTCAGTTTCCAGCCCATCAATGGAGGAGCCAGTGAGTATGCAGGATTCCCAAGGCAGGACAGAAGGGGGCTGCCCAGTGCAGGAAAGTGGCAGACAGCTGCTACCTCCATCTCAAGCAGCCCTGAGCTCTGTACAAGATTGCAAAGAGAAGGCCAGACTGTACCTGAGCAGTAGAAATTAGGCCTCTCCCCCCAACTTCAAGCTGAACACAGTGGTTGGAATCCCAGTCATCTTTTCCAGAGACAGGGACACTGGGGGAGCTTCCTTGCTTGGCTGTGATGTGACATCCTGACTGGCCTGTGTTCCCAGGATTTGAGAAGGGCCTTGTGAGATCAAAGCTCTGTAAATGGCTTCTCGCTGGTTCTAGGTATAAAAGCCACCACTTGCCAGTGCTGTTGTAATTTTAGAGAATCTTCCAGTTCACTTGAGAAGCACAGCTGTGTAATCATTTATTTCTTATTAAAGAACGAAGTATTTCTTAAAGTCTCCTCCCCCAGCAGGGCCTGAGTGCCATCACTTTCCCTATACTGATGACTCCCCAAAGTGAGATCCACTGTAGGGATCTCTCAAGAATCAGAAGGCCACTTAGATGAGGACCTTAAGGAATGTGTCATTTACAAAGGACCATTTACAAAGGTGCAGGCAAAAATGGGTACATCTAAAGGGATAAGACAGTGGGTAGCTGGGCTGGTAACTCACTGTAGGGCTCTCACCACCCCCGGGTCTGAGGATGCAAGGGGAGGGTATTACCTAAACCTGGAGGAAGGCTTTTATGAAGAGTAGTGACCTTGAAAGGAGCTGGGGACTTTAGTGAGGGGGTGGGGGTACAGTCAACCTGAGATGACTGTGAAGAAAGGGATAGAGGAAGAATACCCCAGTCTTCCCTTTGACCCTCTGTCCTCTGCCTTGCCCTCCATTGACCAAACCAACCAGGAACCTATAATTCCACAGGCAGTAGAAGGAGCCCATATTGTAGTGCCCAGGGAGAGAAGTGATCTCATGGTCCACAGGGAGAAAGGAACACACAGTGTGCTGCACATAGGGCAGCCTCAGAGGACAGAGAGAAATGGAGGAGAGACAAGACTGGATCTGGGGCAGGTGAGATGGCTCAGAGGGTAAAGACACTTATCACTGAGCTGGGGACCTCATGTGGTGGAAGGAGAGAAACAACTCCTGCACATTGTTCTCTGACTGGCACATGTGTGCTGTAGAGAATTTTACATACACACACACACACACACACACACACACACACACACACACTCCTCACATGAAACAAACAAACATAAATAAATGTGATGAATAAAAAACCCAAGTCTGTATCAGGGAGGGGCTGCTGCCTACCATCTGTACTGCTTTTCCATTTATCTTGTACTCTGCCTGGTTCACTTACTTGACAGTGTAGCTGTTTGGAGGTGGGGCCTAGTGGGAGGAATTTAGGCTTTTGAGGCTGTACTCTGGAAGGGGCTAGTGAGATTCCAGCCCCTTCCTTTTCCTCTCTTTCTCTCCTTTGCTCCCATGAGTTGAGCAGTTTTAGTCTTCCACATTTTCCCCATCATGATATACTGCCTGTCCATAGGCCTTTAAACAATGGGGCCAACTGATCATAGACTAGAACCTACAAAACTGTAAGCCAAAACAAACCTTTCTTCATTATAAGCTAATTATATCAAGTATTTTGTTACAGTAAGGGCAAACTGACTAACACAATCATCCCTATGTATATTGTTATCCTTATATAATACTTAGGACTCTTAAGGTTTTGGGGACAGAGATTGTGTCTTTCCTGAGATTCCTTCATGGTACTGGGCTCCTCCTTTCTATAGCATAATGTGTGCTTGTGTGTGTGTGTGTGTGTGTGTGTGTGTGTGTGTGCACGCATGCATGCACAGGCACCAGCAAGGATAGGTAATGTAGTACCAGATCTGAAATACCAGATCTCAGTGACTTTACATAATGAATGTGTTCTCTTGTTCACATTATTGATCTGTCTTGGTCCATTTTCTGTTGCTTTAAGAGAATACCTGAGACTGGTAATTTAAAAGGGAATAATTTTATTTGCATGGTTCTGGAGACCAGACATTCAAGGACAGGGCCCCAGCATCAGTTTGGTTTTTTGGGAGGGTCTTGTTCTGTGCTATAACATAGTAGAGGGCTAGAAGGGATCATATGGCAAAAGAGGAAGGAAGAAGTTAAGAGAGTCAAACTCCTTTTGAGAACAAGCCACTCTCTCCTTAACCGGCTTCCCAGGACAATCAACCCAAGTCTGTGACTGTGAGAAAGGTACAGATCCCTTTGAAGGACCTGACCACCTCTCAGCATCACCACACTTGCTATCCAGTTTCTTGTGAGCAACCAGAGCACCACCCACAGCAGCTCTGCAGATTGCAGTTGCCTTCAGTGTGACCTGGTGGATGGTTTACTACAATGCCTAACAAGGTTTTGTGGGTGAGCACTAACTCTCATGCTCCAGGGCCTTGCGATGAAGGTGAGACTGACTTGCAAGATGAGATATGCATGGCATTAATGGGGAAGCCACCGTGACAATGACTGCACTGGCTGATAATTTAGGAGGCCGGCAGAGTCCTTACCTGAGCCATTGTCTAGGGCAGTGCAGCTCTGCAATCTCCCCCAGGGTCCTGCTGTGGCCCTCCATCTCAGGGTCAGCTTGTTCAGTAATTCAAATTCTGACATAACCTGCCAGGAGAGAGTTAAAGCAGTCAGAAATAGCAGCTTCCACTATTTTTTAAACTATTTTTATTTTGTGTGTATGAGTGTATTGTCTGCCTGTATGTAAGTGCACCCATGCCATGCAATACCTGTGGAGGTCAGAAGAGAGCCTCAGATTGCCCTGGAACTGGAGTTATGGACAGTTGTTAGCCGCCATGTGGGTGCTGGGATCTGAATCCGGGTCCTCTGCATGAATTTCTGATCCTCCTGTCTCCATCTCTCAAATGCTGGGATCAGGAACATGTGCTACCGTACTTGGCTTGTGTTTTTTTTTTTTTTTAAAGAGCAATGAAATTAATTCCTGGATATGTCTAATGCTTCTTACCCTATTCCTTTCCTTTTCTTCAGAGGGAACACAACCTTGAAAACCTTAGTATAGATCTTTTTGTTCAAGGTTTTAATGTTACTACTGAATCAATGTCCAAGTGATACATATTGTTTTGTGTATCTTTTAAAGAAACAAAAATTCTGAAGCACAAATTATATAGTATCTTTCTCTCAGCAATTCTAGTCTTTTAATGTGTGTATATGCATCTATGTGTGGATATGTATAATGTTAAGAATGGGGAATGTGGGCTGGAGAGATGGCTCAGCAGTTAAAAGCACTGGTTGCTCTTGCAGAGGACCTGGGTTTGATTCCCAGCACCCACATGGTGGCTAACAACTGGCTAACTCCAGTTCTAGGGAATTCAATGCCCTCTTCTGGCCTCCATAGGCATTGCATGCATAGGTGCACTTACATGCAGGCAAAACACTCATACACATAAAATTTTAAAAATTAAAATTAAACACCTTTGCATTTCTGTGTGGCACAGCCACCAGCTTCCTTGGGGCCAGCTTCTTTCCTGGGTAAGTTTGTCCATGCACCCACTGTGCCTTGACTCCCCCCAGGCTTGTTCACCCTCCAAGCTCCCCAACCCTGTCTCTCCTCCTAGAGTGGGTAATGGCCCATTTCTTCTCTTGGCACCCTGGACATCTGGACTGTCCTCTTGGCCCAGGCTCCCCACTGCTCCTGATCCTTTGCACCCAGTCCAACCCAATTCCTCCCTCTAGTCTCAGGGAGCCCTCAGGGTCTGTTCCCTCCCTCACATCATCTTTGCATTTCTAGGCGGCACAGGCACCAGCTTCCTGGGGTCAGCATCTTTCCTGGGTAAGTTCAGCCATGCACCCATAGCACCTTGACTCCCCCAGCCTCATTCACCCTCCCAGCTCCCCCACCCCGTCTCTCCTCCTAGGATGGGCAGTGGCCCATTTCTTCTCTTGGCATCCCAGACCTTTGGACTGCCTTCTTGGCCCAACCTCCCCACTGATTCCTGATCCTCTGCACTCAGACCAACCCAGTTCCTAGTTCTAGTTCCCAGGAGCCCTCAGGGCCTGTTTCTGCCCCCAACCCCACACCTTTGTATGCCTGAGACAGGACCTGCTCCCAGACTAGCTCAGCCCCCAACTTCCTGAAGTAAGCATTTTTCCTGGAGGGATCCAGACCTTAGAAGAAAGCTTGACAGTATCTGATCCTCATCTAACTTGGGCCTCTGTAGAAACTCCTGAGCAACAGTACGAAAGTCATCTGGCCCCTCCAATATAAAATCAAAGGAGAGAACCTGAAGCCTAGACCAACAAGTAAACCACAAAGGCATATAAGTTTACAAAAAGAAGCAGACCTAAACTAAACAAAGGAACACTTGAGTCTCACACAAGAATCAGAAACTACAAAAGAAATCCACATGTCAAACTCAAAGAGAAAAAATAATAACATGAAAAACCCAAATAATATATCCCCACTAAGTACCAACAATCCTGTAGAGGAGTACAATGAGAACCCGCTAGAGATAACATAGAATGTGGAATTCAAAAGAATAATTATAAACATGATCAA